AACCTGTGCTCTCAGGGCGGCCTGGGGTCTCTCTCAGTGAGGTTGGGGCTGTCGTGCCTTATGGCTCAGCTGTCGCGTCAGGGACAGACGCCGTTCACTGTGACTGAGTCGGGTTTACCGGCCGTGCCTGCATGATTCAAGTTCAAGTGTCAGAGAAAGTGCCAACGGTGTCTGCCTCACGGCAGTCTGAGAAGCCTCGCGGTATGGACAGTGCCTTGCCCTCGGCCTCTCTGCTGGCTCCGCCTGGACCTGGGCTGTGAGCCCAGCCCTCCAGCCCCATCAGCAGGGGAGAGACCTGCACCTGCCGCCCACCCAGCGTTGTCTCAGCCTCCCCTGACACGGGAAATGGGAGTAAAACACCCGTGGGGATTAGGCTGGCGAGGTGCGGGGGCACGGGCGGGGGGGAATGCAGCAAACGTGGTGATGGCTGAGCCGGGAGGCTCAGATCGACAGTCACGTGGGTCCAGGGGTGGGGGAGGGGAGCAGGAAGGGGCCGGGGAGCAGTGACGAGCCCGGGCACCCAGTGGTGCCCCTGACGGGAGGCTGGCGGGCAGGGTGACCTTAGCCTAACTGATTAGTCCACCAGGATCCCACACAGGGCCACGTTCTGAGGTCCTAGGAAAGCTTCGATTCCAGGGAGCCGGAATTCGCTTGGCGACAATGACGTGGTTCCCAGAGGCAGAATCAGGGGCTTCTCCCCGTGGCTGGGGGGAGGGGGAACCTGGTCCCCGGGGGGCCCCCGTGCTGTCTAGGGCCAGCTCGCACCCCTGGCTTTTGGGAGCAACAGGTGCACGTCCCAGGTCTGGTCAGGGCGGGGCTGCAGGCTAGAGCTCCTTGCGGGAGGGCGAGTTAGAGCCTGGCCTCTGTGCTACCGGAGCTGGGGACCACCCCCGCCCCAAAGGCAGGGCTGCCAGGGAGGAGGCGGCCGCGTCCCAGCTGCCAGCTGTGCCTGGGTGACCCACCCCACCCGTCAGCTGCTCCCAGGGGCCCTGCCTGGCAGCGGCAGCCCACAGATGCCACCCAGAAGCTCCGCCACTAGCGGCCACTGTGGCTGCCTCTCAAGACCCACAGCTGAAATGCCCCGTCCGTTCAGCGCCCATTGTCCTGCTACCGCCCCTTCCCCAGCTCCCAGGGCTGCCATGGGACCTCCTGGGTGGAGCAGGTGGCAGCTGGCCCAGTGCTCAGGGCTGGAGGCCCCGGGCACCCTCTGTCCTGCACTCACGGGAACCCCTGGCTGCCAACCCTCCCCCTTCCATACGCCGAGTCCCAGCAGATGGCACCGCCCAGCCCAGCTGTGTTTGCCTCCTTAATCAGCCAGGCCCTGATGACTTGGGAGGGGTCTGGGTGCCCCTCTCCGGGAGGTAGCGAGAATGCTGAGTGGAGGGAGGCGCCGCGCCCGGGGCAGCTGCAGAGCGAGCGACAGCTGGCCAGCAGCACCCCGGCCCTGCGGAGGCTTCAGCTGTGACTGGCCACCTCCCCCCTCCACGAGACGCTGAGTGACAGTGCGAGGGACGGAGATGCACACCGGCTGACCCCTGTGGGCTGCTGAGGGGTCGAGCGCTTGGCAGTGCTGTGCATTTCTGATCCCCCTCCTCTGATGAGCTCCTAGTCCCACTCCAAACCCTGCTGGCTTGAGCCCCTTCTCACTCTCACCCCTGCTGACAGCAGGCAGGGGACCACGGCTACACGTGGCTGCGGCGGCCACGGCAGGGATGTGGCCGGCCACTGAGGAGGGAGAGAGCCTTCAGCAGAGCCGCTCTGCCCTCCCTCGGGGCTCGGGACCCCCACGCAGCGCCCTGTCGAGGGAAGCCTAGGCCCAGGGACCCTCGTGCCTGCAGCCCTCGACCAGACAGGGAGGCCGGGGAGGCCGCGGGATGACCAGCTCTGGGGGCAGGGTGGGCGCTCCTGTCCCGCTCTCTGCTCCTGCACCCAGGGCTCCTGGGCAGGGCCGCGCTAGAATAGAAGGAGGGGGTCCACAGTGAGGTCTTCCTCTCCCCCCACATGCGCTCCAGGGCTTCCTCCTCCAAAGGCCCTCCCCTGGCCCCCTCTCCCCGGGGGGCCCGTGCTGTGTCCGCCAGGGCGAGTCCGGCTCTGCCCCCACCCCTCCTGTGAGAGCCCTGGGACCAGCGGATCTGGCTCCTTGGTTGTACCACGCCTGGCGGGAACCTTGGGGCAGGTGAAGAAACTGAACCACGGGGAGCGTGATTTGCACAGGGCCACGTAGCCCAGGGCTTGGGCCAGGCATCTCGGCGTCCCCATGTTGGCACGACCAGCTGGCCTCCCCGGGGCCTTCCCACGCGGGCAGCACTGTGACCCCGCGCAGCTGTGGTAGGCGCGTGGTGCATGCTCACTCTGTCCAGTGGAAGCCTCCACCAGCCGGGCAGTCCTGGCGCTGCCCATGCGGAAGGCCCGGGGCAGTGGGACGCCTGGCTGGGGAGGGCCTGGACGTCACTGTCTCCAGCTCTGCAGGTGACTCCAGGTGTGGCTGGGCGGGGACCACGGCTCGGACAGACGCTCCTCCCCAGGCAGCCTGCAGAAAACCATCCCACCCCCTGCTCAGAGCACAGAGTGAGGGCCACAGTGGTTCCTGGGGTGTCTGCAGGCCCCTGGAACCCAGCCCAACTCCAGCCCAGCCTGGCCTCTGGGGGCTGTCACCAGGACAAGCTCCTGGGCCTGTCCCTGTGACCATCTGTCCCCTAACATGAACCCCCGGCGTCCCTGGTGAGCCCTCGGTGCCCTCTCTCTCCCTCAGCCCAGAGAGGGCCCTGGGACGGAGCAGGCAGGGCTCCGCCTCTCTCACTCGCCCACAGGGGGCCACCCAGCTGCCCACGGAGGGCTCCCTGGGCACGAGGAGGTTCCTGGCTGACTCCCATCCAGTCCCTCGGTGAGGGACAGCTCTGCCAGGGCGTCAGGGCCCTGTCCAGCCCCTCAGGTGTCCCACCTGCAGGCTACGTTTGAGCAGGGACGGTACACAGAGTGCCCTTGCCCTGGCGGTCCCCTACAATATGCCCCTGCGTCAGCCAGCGCCAACTGCACAGGAGTGGCCAGGATCCCGACTGCTCGAAGCAGCCACCGGCTGCAGGGGTGGGGGCACCAGGAACAAACACGAGAGGGCTGAGGTGGGGGGTCCCCATGGATATGGGTCCCCAGCTGCTGCAGCCACCCTGGGCAGGAGCCTTGAGGGTGGAGCCTCGGTTTCTCTCTCTGGAAAATGGGTGCAGTTTTTCCCGTCTCATCCAGTCCAGCTGTCGGGACAACTTCCAGTACACGGCGTTCATTGAGGACGGCCAGGCAGGCAGAGGGTGCCCTCAGCCAGAGGACGGCCTGCAAGGGCGCAGATTTAAAAATCCGGATGCACTGGGGCTGGCTCTGCGGCGCAGTGGGTTAAGCCGCAGCCAGTGACACTGACATCCCACATCACAGTGTGATTCAAGCCCGGCTGCTCCACTTCCCATCCAGCTCCCTGCTAAGGAACCTGGGCAAGTAGGCAGGAAGTCCTTGGGCCCCTGCCACCCACGTGGGAGATCTGGACGGGGCTGCAGGCTCCCGGCCTGGCCCAGCCCTGACCTGGCGGCCACTCGGGGAGTGAACCAGTGGATGGGAAATCTCGCTCCCTCTTTCTCTCTCTCAGTAACTCTGCCTTTCAAATAAATGAATCTTTAAAAATTATTCTAAAAATCAAGGTGTACCCTATTTGTATTAAAATGCATTGAATAAATTTATTTCATACATTTTATTGAAGTGCAATTAATTAAAGCATTTCTGCTGGGAAGAAAGACCAAAGAGGGGCCGGCGCTGTGGCATAGTGGATAAAGCTGCTGCCTGCAGTGCTGGCATCCCATATGGGCGCCGGTTCAAGTCCCGACTGCTCCACTTCCGACCCAGCTCTCTGCTGGTGGCCTGGGAAAGCAGTGGAAGATGGCCAAGTGCTTGGGTCCCTGCACCCGCGTGGGAGACCCAGAAGAAGCTCCTGGCTCCTGGCTTTGGATCAGTGTAGCTCCAGCCGTTGTGGTCATTTGGGGAGTGAACCAGCTGATGGAAGACCTCTCTCTCTCTCTCTGCGTAACTCTGCCTTTCAAATACATAAATAAATCTTAAAAATAAAAGAAGAAGGAAAGAAAGCCAGACGAGAGAAAGGGCTTTGTGCCTTTGCAGAGTCCAGCTCTCGAGAGGCGGAGCAGGCTGGGTCTGGACGGTGGCCTGGGCCAGGGTCTCTGCTGTGCTCCCGGGGTGGGAGGGCTGAGCCCGGCCCACTGACGTCCCTGCGGGAGCCACAGCCCCACCCGAGCCCCCGGCCTTTCCTGCAGCCCCGCTGGGGCGGGCAACACAGCCCTGTGCAGACGCAGGGAACCCACGTGCTGCTGCTCCCGGGGCAGTGCGGGCTGGGACACACACACACACCACACACACACACACACATACACACCACACACACACCATGCACCACACACACCACACACACCACACACACCACACACACCACACACACACACACACACACACACACCATGCACCACACACACCACACACACCACACACACACACACACACACACCACACACACACACACACACATACCACACACACCACACACACACACCGTGCACCACACATACCACACACACACACCACACACACACACACACACCACACACACACACCACACACACACACACCACACACACACACCACACACACACCACACACACACACACACCACACACACACACCACACACACACACACACCACACACACACACCACATATACACACACACACCGTGCACCACACATACCACACACACACACCACACACACACACACACACCACACACACACACACCTCGCGGGCTTCTGGGGGCTTCCAGTGGCATGCGGGAGAGAAACAGGTGGGGCTGTGGTGGGGCTCCTGCCCAGAGCAAACAGAGTCCCGGTGGCTGTGCAAACACAGGGGTACAAATGGGCCCGGCGGCGGGCTGCCGGCACTCCTGCTGTGCCCACAGCCGGAGCGGTTACCATGGGGATCCGAGCGCTCTGGCTGCTGCTGCTCATCCTGGCCTTGGGGTCCTCGGGCTCTGTCGGGGAGGACCTGGGTCCTGTGTGAGTACTGGCTCCCTGGGGAGGTGGGCCAGCACCGGGCAGGCGGGCGGGGTCCAGGCCGAGGGCGCCATCCTGGGCTCAGAGCAGCGCAGGCGGACACGCCGTCCTCTGTTTCGTCCGTGCCGCTTGGGCACAGGCGGGCTTTCTCTTGCAAAAGCCCTGCCAGGAACCTGAGGCCCAGGGCAAGGCAGGGCTGAGCGCAGGCTGCGGGGCTCGCCCTGCCCCGCCCCTGCCCAGCGCCGTCCTACCAGGGGTTTCTGGATGAATTTTTGATCTGGCACAATTGCAAACCAGGAAAGGCAGGAGAGAAACCAACCTCCCAGAACACTTTTACATTTTTTAAAGATTTATTTATTTATTTGAAAGAGTTGCACAGAGAGAGAGAGAGAGAGAGAGAGAGAGAGAGAGAGAGAATCTCAACCGCAACAGCCAGGGCTGGGTTAGGAGCTTCCTCCGGGTCTCGCAGGTGGGTGCAGAGGCCCGAGCGCTTGGGCCATCCTCCACTGCCCTCCCAGGCGCATTAGCGGGGAGCTGGGTCTGAAGTGGAGCAGCCGGGGTTCCAGCCGTACCCATGTGGGATGCCAGCGCTGCAGCTGACGGCTTAGCACACTGCAAACACCGTCCAGGAGGCCTCCTTTTAGGCGTTATGTGGGAAGCCCCTCTCGTGGGGACAGAGCCATCACCTGCAAAGTGGAGCAAGCAGAGGCTGGTGCTGTGGCCCAGCGGGTGAAGCTGCAGCTGTGGAGCCTGTTCCAGTCCCGGCTGCTCCACTCCTGCTCCAGCTCTCTGCTGTGGCCTGGGAAAGCCCCGGAGGATGGGCCAAGTGCTCGGCCCCTGCTCCCACGTGAGAAACACAGAAGAAGCTCCTGGCTCCTGGCTTCAGATGGGTCCAGCCCCAGCTGTGGGGGCTGCTTAGGGAGTGAACCAATGCATGGATACGCTCTCTCTGTCTCTCCTGTAACTCTGCCTTTCAAATAAAAAAAAATGAAGCAAGAACACGCCAGCAGGGGCTCTGGCAGCTAACTGGGCTTTGTCTGGGGCAGCGGCCAGCCAGTGCGTCATCCCGGCCCAAGAAAGGGTGGACTGCGGCTACCCCCAGGTCACCGAGGAGGAGTGCAAGAGCAGGGGCTGCTGCTTTGACTCCAGCATCTTCGGGGTGCCCTGGTGCTTCAAGCCCCTGCAGGACACAGGTGAGCCCCAGCGCGGCCCCGCGTGCAGACCCAGGTCCCCAGACAGCCGCCCACGGGCCTGGGTCCTCAGTGCCGTCCACTGGAGGAGGCCTCCCGGTGCCGTCCCAGACCCAGGTCCCCAGACAGCCGCCCATGGGCCTGGGTCCTCAGCGCCGTCCACTGGAGGAGGCCTCCCGGTGCCGTCCACGCCCAGGGCAGCCGCGGCTGGTGGCTGCCCCCTTTCTGATTCATGTCGAAGCCATAGCTTCACAGACTGTGCTCTGAGCGAAGGCTTCAGGTGGAGGGGCCCGGGGTAACAGGTGTCCCAGGACGGGGTGGGGGGCACGGAAGGCCTGGCTGCTGGGAGACGGCAGCAGTGGCTGAGCCGGGCAGCAGCCCTGGAGCTGCCCCACCGTGATGGTGTGGCTCTCCCCTCCTGCGGTGCTGCAGGCCGAGCAGGGCAGCGCCCCTGGGGACCCCTCCTGGGAGGGGTAGTGGGCCCCGGCCCCTCCCACCCACTCTGGGCGTGGCTGACTGGCCCTCAGCCAGGTGCCATGCCCACGGAGGACGTTCCCAGGGGGACAACTCTGGCCGTCAGCACCGCGAGGGGCCACTCTTGGCCTTTGTGCCGGGATAACAGTGAGAGGCCGAGTCCCAGGTCACCCCGATCCCAGGCACTGAGGGTGGCCCCAGCCCCTGCGCCCTGCCAACAACTCCGGGGAGAAGGCAAGAGACGAGGTTGCCTCTTCCCCGGCTGTCCCCTGCCTCCTGCCGTCCCTGCTGGGACCCCCTTCTCCCCTGAGCACTGGCTGGTGGCCCCGCCCTCTGTCACCTGCACTGACCACCTGCGTCCAGGGACCTCAGTAGCCCCTGAGGTGGGTTGCGAGGCCACCCGCTAGGAGCTCACCACTTCCCCGGGGACCTGGGGGCGCGCGCCCCAGCTCTAGGCATGGTCTGGGCGCCTGCGCTGCTGGAGGCGCTGTGCACGGAGCCGAGCCGCTCACCACACTGTCTCCGTGCTCCTTCCAGAATGCACGTTTTGAAGCGCAGCTGCGGCCTGCCGGGTCCCCGGGTGTGAGGCCCCTCCCGCCCTGCTCACCCCGCTTCTCTCTCCCCGCCTCCTGCCTGCTGCGATCGCCAAACCTAATGCCTGGAGCCTGATGTCTAGAGAATAAAGAACCCGTGCCCGGCACGGACCCTTCATCACCCCGCCAGTTCCCTTTCTTCCTCGGCACTCGGGGGCAAGGAGGGGGAGGGGCTTCCGCTGCCCGGGGGAGGGGCAAGGAGGGCGGGAGGGGCTTCCGCTGCGCGGGGGAGGGGCAAGGAGGGCGGGAGGGGCTTCCGCTGCCCGGGGGAGGGGCTTCCACTGCCCGGGGGAGGGGCAAGGAGGGCGGGAGGGGCTTCCACTGCCCGGGGGAGGGGCTTCCACTGCCCGGGAGAGGGCTGCTCCACGCCAAGGGGCAGGAGAGCTGGCGTGGTGTGCAGGGACCCCTCCCGGGCCGCTTCCTCCCGCAGGTTGAGAAGAAAACATTTCAAGTGCGAGTCCTAACAGTCCCCGCGGACGTCAGCGTAGGTGTTAGCCTAGAGGTTAAGACACGTGGGCCCCGCAAGTTCCGGTTCTGGCTCCTGGCTTCAGTTTCCTGCCCCTGCAGACCCGTAGCAGGCGCTGGCTTCCTGCCAGCCAGGCGGGAGACCCGGATGGAGTTCCCAGCTGCTGGCTTTGACATTGGGACCGCTCCCGAAAGCTTCATGGGCTTGGGGAGTGGACCAGTGAGTGGGTGGGAGCGCTCTCTGTCTGTCTGTCTGTCTCTCTGCCTCGCAAATAAATAAGCTTTGTAAAACCCCTTTAAGGATTTATTCTGTGTTGGTGAAGAGCGCGGGCAGCAGCAGCCTTGGACAGACCCTTGCTGTGTGTGTTTGCAAGCCAGGGGTCACACCCGCCACCCCAGAGGCCCCTGCTTTCACCCTCTTGTTAGATGAACCAGGGCCACCGAGCTTCAGACGGGGGCTCAGAATCAGCTCCCCGGGTGCCGGGCGCCTGGCGAAGGAGGCGGCACCACGCAGGCAGCCCAGTCCTCCCACCACAAGGCCCCGCCCAGCCCCACAACCTCCAGGGGGTCCCAGCCTCCCCCAAGAAGGCGCCCAGGAGAGTCCTCCCTGCCTGGGGGGCCTGGTGGGCTACAGCCTGACAACACTGGGCACTGAAACTGTGGGGGGGATTTTCCCCATTCCACACCCAGCAGACCACTGTCTGGGAGAAGGGGCGGGGCGGGAAGAGCTGGACCCCTCCCAGTGGGAGCCCCAGGCTGAATTTCCTGGTCTGAGCCCTTCTCCCCTCCTGGGAGTGAGTCCGGAGCTGCCCTAGACAGCAGCCTTCACTTGGTGGCCGGCCGACGGCTCCCAGCACCCCAGCAGCGAGGTAGCCTTCCTTGTCTTACGGAACAGAGAAAGCCCTTGTTAAGCAAGGCGTCCAGAGGCCCGGACAGCACAGCCAGGACGTCCTGGTCTCAGGGTCTGACGCCCTGGGTGTCCTCCTGCTGACCATCGCGCGTCTGCCAGACCACGAGCCCAGGTCCCTCCGGCCCAGGAGCGTGCGCGAAGTCCGGCCTCCCGCTCTGAGACCCTGACAGAGCTCCGGCCTCTGATCCCTCTCCCGCATCACGGCCCACGGCCAGCCCGAGAGGCCTCTGATCCCTCTCCCCCATCACGGCCCACGGCCAGCCCGAGAGGCCTCTGATCCCTCTCCCCCATCACGGCCCACGGCCAGCCCGAGAGGCCTCTGATCCCTCTCCCCCATCACGGCCCACGGCCAGCCCGAGAGGCCTCTGATCCCTCTCCCCCATCACTGCCCACGGCCAGCCCGAGAGGCCTCTGATCCCTCTCCCGCATCACGGCCCACGGCCAGCCCGAGAGGCCTCTGATCCCTCTCCCGCATCACGGCCCACGGCCAGCCCGAGAGGCCTCTGATCCCTCTCCCCCATCACGGCCCACGGCCAGCCCGAGAGGCCTCTGATCCCTCTCCCGCATCACGGCCCACGGCCAGCCCGAGAGGCCTCTGATCCCTCTCCCCCCATCACGGCCCACGGCCAGCCCGAGAGGCCTCTGATCCCTCTCCCGCATCACGGCCCACGGCCAGCCCGAGAGGCCTCTGATCCCTCTCCCGCATCACGGCCCACGGCCAGCCCGAGAGGCCTCTGATCCCTCTCCCCCATCACGGCCCACGGCCAGCCCGAGAGGCCTCTGATCCCTCTCCCCCATCACGGCCCACGGCCAGCCCGAGAGGCCTCTGATCCCTCTCCCCCATCACGGCCCACGGCCAGCCCGAGAGGCCTCTGATCCCTCTCCCCCATCACGGCCCACGCCAGCCCGAGAGGCCTCTGATCCCTCTCCCCCATCACGGCCCACGGCCAGCCCGAGAGGCCTCTGATCCCTCTCCCGCATCACGGCCCACGGCCAGCCCGAGAGGCCTCTGATCCCTCTCCCGCATCACGGCCCACGGCCAGCCCGAGAGGCCTCTGATCCCTCTCCCCCATCACGGCCCACGGCCAGCCCGAGAGGCCTCTGATCCCTCTCCCCCATCACGGCCCACGGCCAGCCCGAGAGGCCTCTGATCCCTCTCCCCCATCACGGCCCACGGCCAGCCCGAGAGGCCTCTGATCCCTCTCCCGCATCACGGCCCACGGCCAGCCCGAGAGGCCTCTGATCCCTCTCCCCCATCACGGCCCACGGCCAGCCCGAGAGGCCTCTGATCCCTCTCCCCCATCACGGCCCACGGCCAGCCCGAGAGGCCTCTGATCCCTCTCCCGCATCACGGCCCACGGCCAGCCCGAGAGGCCTCTGATCCCTCTCCCGCATCACGGCCCACGGCCAGCCCGAGAGGCCTCTGATCCCTCTCCCGCATCACGGCCCACGGCCAGCCCGAGAGGCCTCTGATCCCTCTCCCGCATCACGGCCCACGGCCAGCCCGAGAGGCCTCTGATCCCTCTCCCGCATCACGGCCCACGGCCAGCCCGAGAGGCCTCTGATCCCTCTCCCGCATCACGGCCCACGGCCAGCCCGAGAGGCCTCTGATCCCTCTCCCGCATCACGGCCCACGGCCAGCCCGAGAGGCCTCTGATCCCTCTCCCCCATCACGGCCCACGGCCAGCCCGAGAGGCCTCTGATCCCTCTCCCCCATCACGGCCCACGGCCAGCCCGAGAGGCCTCTGATCCCTCTCCCCCATCACGGCCCACGGCCAGCCCGAGAGGCGTCCTGACCCCAGCGGCTGCCACCTTGTGCCTGGCTCAGGCCTGCAACTCAGCTCTGTCACCCCGCCCTGCTCCCCTGCATGGAGGCCTGACCTGGGACAGGGGACAGGGGACCAGGGACCGGGGACCGGGGACAGGGGACCGGGGACCGGGGACAGGGGACTGGGGACAGGGGACCGGGGACAGGGGACTGGGGACAGGGGACTGGGGACAGGGGAGAGGGGACAGTGGAGAGGGGATAGGGGCTCGGCTGCCTTCCTACAGGGGGACTCTAGGACTTCATTAAGGGAGCCGCTCATACGCCCCCAGAGAATTCCTCTACCCCCCTCAGCACCGACCTCTCTGTTCTCAGCCCTCGATTCTCATTGCCCCCGAGCAATGCCCCCCCGGAGAGAGAGGACGGTCGCACCCCAGCCCTGCAGCTGCGTGGGCCCACCTCCCTCACTCCTGGCCACAGCTGTCCACCGCTCAGGGGAGACCCCGTGCGGGTTCCAGAATCCCCATCACGGCGTCTTTCTGCCCCGGGTGTGGTGCCTGGGTTGGGTGGCTGGGCGGACATTAGCCTATGGGCGTGAGAAGACCGGAGTGATTGGGGCAAGTGGGCGATGCTGGCGATGAGCCAGGGAACCCGCCTCGGAAGCAGAGCTGCAATTGCAGGGCTAACGTCCTCCCCCCCCATTCAGAACCCTGCTGGGGGGGGGGTCCCAGCCCTCTCCAGGGGGCAGCTGAGGGGAATCTCCCCCGACCCTGCACCCAGGGCGGCTGTGAGGTCCCTGGAGGAGTTTCAGGGACTCCATGCCCGGGAAGCCTCCGCCCAGCACGGTCTTGGAGACAGAGGGGAGAACAGCTGGCCACACACGCCCCTGTAAAAACTCCACTCACTGCTCCGTGGGCGGGGGGGGGGCACACTCTCCATTAAACTTGGCTGGGCGGCTTCCTGCCCCTCCTGTCTCCCGCCCGAGTTCTCTGATCAGCATCATGCTGTCTCCTGAGACACTGAGTTTGCCACGGCCAAGTGAACAAACGCGGCACGGAGAGACGTCCGTGTGAGGCCTGGGGAGGAGCCGGCATCCTCTGTGCTGTGCTGTGTGTGCCATCCACCGAGGGCCCTGGGCACCCACCCCGGGCTGCTGCTGCTCCGCCCGGGAGGGGAGCCCCCTCCCCCCCGCCCCCCCCCCCCCCCCCCCCCCCGGCTGCTGCTCCGCCCGGGAGGGGAAGCCGCCCTCTCCCACCCGTGCCCAGCTCCCGAAGCCACAGCTCTTCCTGGTGGCCACACCCCATCCCACATGAGCTGTCCAGAGTGGGGCAAACTGCACCTGTAGCGAGGAAGCCTTGGGTCTGGCTGCCCCGGGTGACCCCTGTGCACTGACTTGTGGCCGCCAGAGATGCCTGCGGCCAACAGCAAGGGGTCACTCGTGCCTCATACGCCAGGCTGAGGTGATGGCGGGGCCCCAGGCCTGTCCTCTCTGGGCCTGTCGCTGTCCCTGTCCTGCTGGCTGGGGGAAGGGAGACAGGGGAGGCCGGCAGAGCCCTGCAGCTGGGGAATGGCTGCCCCAGGACCCCGGGGGACTGCTCTGGGGACCCACACACAGCTGCTGGGTTCTCTGACTCCGGCACGGACATGGTCATGGTCAGCCGCTGTGTGCTCGCTTCCTGTGCTCTACCACAGGGCTCTGCAGTCCCAGAGCCGGAGCCCGGGATGGGGACGGCCCCACCCCCCAGCCCAGGTGAGTGTCTCAGCAGCTGCCACCTGGTGGCCACTGTCCATCGGGGCTACTGTCTACCTCTGGTCACTCAGTGGCCGCTGTCCAACCCTGGTCACCTGGTGACCACTGTGCACCCGGTCACTCAGCGGCCCAGATGCACACCCAGGGGAATGCCTCCCACCCCCGCCCCCTGCCATGTGTTGTTTCGGCAGCTGCTGGCAGTTTGCGGCTTCTGTCTTGAAAAGCTCCCAGTCGTGTCCCCGGGGACTCGTGCAGGG